TATTAGCGGACTAGCGGAATAGCGCGCTATTGCCCAACACTGCATTTATCTGATTGAAGTCTACAAAGATTGAGGGATGTATAAAGCGTAGAGGTGTCGTTAAGTTCTGACGAAAGAGCCGAATTTACAGCTCTCTTGTTTGATACCATTCTATTGTTGGTGAAGGGACAGTTGTTGGTGAAGCGCTATTGTCCACGTGTGAGTTGTGAGGGTTCTGGACTGGTTTCAGATCGTTTAGTTACTCGGGAAAGGTGTAAGCACTTAGGTACTCTGATTTCGGTATCGACATGCGGGCTGTTGCATTTTTCGGTGTCAGTTGTCTGTATTTGTGGGCCGAACTCCATCCAGTGGTGTTATCCAGGCCAGCTATCCCGCGAAAGGGAGACGGGAACACGTCCGGCGAACAGCTCAGCCTGTTTTCTACTGTGAAGTAGTCATAATGAGTTTGTCTACACTGCTTGCTGTCATAAAATTTGAAACTCGCGCCTTTTCAGGAACAGTTAAAAATTCAAAATGTTCGCATTGCAGACGGAATTTTGTCGATGTTTGCGAGATGCATTTCTTCTTTGAAATCTTCATTCAGTTCGTTTTCCTTTTCGAAAGTTGATAATTTAAGCATCTTGTCTTGTTATAACGCAACTCTAATCAAGAAAAACAATATGAGGAATCAGTGGATATATATCTGTGAAAAACTGTTGATGAAATTCAGTTGGATGGATGTTGTAAATTACTTTTTCGGTTCCTCTTTTCTTTCGCTCTTTTTTTGCCCTCCATAAGAGAATGGGCAGAGGCGTCAGCCCTTTGCGCCACCCCCAACTTTTGCAGCCAGTTTTCTCATAAACACGTAAAATTTGGGTGTGGGATTCCGTCCCATCCGTCCGATCATACGACTAAATTTGTTTGACATCTATAAGTAGCCACATTATAACAATAATTTTTCCATTCATTAGCTTATTTCTATACGAACCCCAGCGAACTGCGAACAATGAAATTGTCCACAGTTCAATGATAACTAAAATAATTTTGAGATGCATGCAAAAAGCAAAAGCTAAAATCAAGTCGAACGCCTCACCAACATTGGTGCTCACGTTTTGTGTTGACGTTACATGTTTTCTGTTACAAGTTCTTGCACTTGCACGAGGTGCAATTGTTCATTTTGCGCGTTTTATCTGAAGTTTCTTGGAACTCATCTAATCGCATTTCTTACACAGGATCTTTCTTTGTTGTTCAGCAGATGTGGGCTCTGCGTTCTGGATTGATACGAATTCATAACTGCCGTATAATTCAACGATTTTTAGTTGGCCAAAACACCTTGGGTCGGCTATCATCAAAGCTGTCACTTACTTATACGTGCAAAGTGTGTAAATCACGTCAGGTGAGTGCCCATTCAGTTTAATTTTTCATCTAAGTATTTCGCCAGGTTAATTATTCATATAATTTTAGGCATTCGTCGTACTCGAATCAGGTTGATACAAAGAATGAGTGAGTTTCGTAATGAAGTAGTTATATGACTCAGTGATGATTGCTGAAGACAAGTATATGATTCAAACTTAGCATGTTGTTTGGGGCATCTCTTTCTCTGTTCTACTGCAAATAAGTTATGATAAAGCATCTCATTAGTGTTTAAAATTTCTCAACTTTCGTTTTCTGCGATTCATCTTTGGGCTAATTATGTGAGGTTTGATTTCAGGGTCCAAAAGAGATTTCAAAAGTTGCTTACGAAGAGGGTGTTGTATTGGTGACGTGCGACTCTTGTAAGAACCATCACATCATCGCAGATAATTTGGGTTGGTTCTCGGACTTGAAAGGGAAAAAGAATATCGAAGAAATCCTCGCTGAAAAGGGCGAATCAGTGACAAGAACACTCGAAGGCACTACAGTCAACATCGTCCCGAAAGGTCAGATGTTCGGACGTTGTTTTTCATTTACTCGATACTGAATTTGCATTGCTAGGGAGTAACTGTTGCTTCACTTATGAAAGCTGAATATGTCACCGAAACTGAGTATGTTATGGTCACGTTGGTTTTGTTGACAGCTAGTTGCGACGATCCTGATTTACATCAAAATCGTTTCGTTTGATCACAGTTCAGTTCATTCGATCGTGATCCAACGACGATATTTGATTTCGTTTGTTTTTAAATAATGATCATGAAAATATGGTTAGGAAAATATTGCTCGTGAATTTCAACAATATTTCGTGAATCAGTTTTCAATTTTTCAATAATATTTCATATTATTAATTTTTCATATTTCAATTTTCAATTTCAACATTTCATTTCAATATTATCAATATCAACATTAATAATATTTCATATTTCATCATTATTTCAAATTTTCATTTCCATGATTTAACAATATTTTCTCATGACCGAATTGCACTTTATGAACATCACGATTAGGCGAGTCATTAGTATTCGAATACTTGAACGGTGTGAATGCA